CGGGAATTCAACTCTATATCTCTGGGATTAGGCATTGTCCGCAGACAGTACGCTCACTTTTCTTCAGGAACACAATTGTTGCGATCCTACATTGACATGAAATCATTCTATCATGAAAATTGAACGCCAGTTTGACCGGACATCTATTGTTACTTTACTTTCCTCGTGTGATGCTGCGGCGTTTCAAACCTCAATTGTCACTTCAAGTTTCGCATTTCTTTTCGCATATTCATTTTCGTTTCAGTGATGAGTTTATTGGAAATTCGAATGATCGAAAGTAAATGATACAGCGTGAAAATGAATGAATTTCTCATGTTTGAGATCATTTTAAAGAATTCAACTGAACATTCCACATTTTGTGGTCGCACACAGGCGAGTTGAGGATAGCAGCTAGTCTTCAGTGAAAAATGAAAATAATGTGACACTTTGAAATGCATGATAATCACATACCATAATCACAAAACATATCTACAACAATCATAGAAGAGCATAACAATAACGTATATAAATAACAAATAATTCAGAACAACGCTGAGATCTAAAGGAGTTCAAAATAACTGACAACTGATCAAGAAATCAAAACAAACTTTCAAGAAATAATAACTTAATTAGTTTCGGTGTTGGTTGACGAATTGATACAGCAAAATTGAAACAATCCGTTTATCAATAGGATTTTCGAGGAAAATATTTGGATGTAATAAATTCGAGAATTTTGGGCAAAATTTAGTGGGTTCTTTCGCATGATCAGTAGTTCCAGTTGGATGGAATACGACTATTCACAGCCATAATGTGTTCATAATATGTATACGGATTAGGGGTAAATCAAATTTGAGAGTGCCGTATCAAATAATCTTGTAATTCATTGAAGTAACGGTAGCACACGCAAACGATTCTGGTTGCCCACATTTGTAATAACAACTGGACGATTAGCACGGTAATCAGTAATATTTTCAAGAAATCTGAAATCAATCACATAAATAATCTCTGGCTGCATATTTGGTTTATGTTATGAATGAAATAATTCTATTCATAAGAACAAAACTGAGATGAACACATATTTGCCATGCTTTATTCTACGGTATCATCACGAAAAACTTCGACTTTATGCATAGGATTGCCCTGATAGTTATGAACATATCAACAAGCTGACTAAGAATGACAGTCCAACTGGAAATTCTACACTAATATAGCAAATGTCTGCTGAATGGAGAGAAAGAGGCGAATCATAGGACGAGTGCTATTCGTTTACGTAAAAACATTCGAAAGAAATGCAGTTGCTGGTTGGCTGGCTGTGCTGATGATAACTAAAATTAGTGCTAAAATGGGATCGGAAATGCAAATGTGCTGAAAAAATGTTGAATTTTATTCGGAAGGCAGCAGGGATCATGAACATTACTAAAGTTTCGTTTAGTAAATGAACTTAATCAGTTATCTAGTGAAAGCTGAGCGGCACTAAAGCATTAAATATGATATGTGTGGATAAGTACTCACTGTAGTCATCCAGATGATCTGCAGCATTATCACCAATGAAGGCATCCACAACGTAACGTGTATCACAAATCACACAGATCACGATCACAATCAGCATAATTGCAACCGCAAATACACTCGCAATCTGTGATACAAACACAGCAGCACCCATTACTTGATGGCATTGCATGGAATTTATTATTGTTTTTAGTTGTGTTATCAGCCGATATATCACTGTTGACATTATCACTGTTGCTAGCATTTCGTTCAACATAGATTTCAGTACCCTTATTAGTATATTGTTAATATTATTACTTGGACTGAGTGGTTGTTTTGTCAATCGCTGGGAGCAATCGGCGGAATATTTATATTACTAGAGTTATGATTATTTATTGGAATGATATTTGGCTACGATTAATTATGCAAAATATTCATGGCTACTAGTTAATTACTCGGTTGTGTTCGGTTGGCCTGCTCGCCTAGCCAGCGGGGTGGCGTAAATTGAGGCTAAAACAATGTGCACGGAAACGTGAGCATTGTGGCCAGCAACGTTACAAACGTTTGATAGCCTGGCCAATCCAGGTAATCCAGGTAATTAGTAGTGAAACTCAGCAAAGATGTTGTGATGCGAACTCGTTAATGCGAGAATCTAAACGTCAGCAAAGACGCACTTCAAAAAGAACCTATCTAAAGTAATTGAAGAAAAAAGTTCATTCCTATCCGTTTCTTCATCTTTATCATCTAATCGAACTAAAAGGATACTCATCAGCACATATGAAATACCTAAAAATAGATGTATGAGAATGATGGCATTTAAGTGCGAAAGCAATTTCCTAATTGCATGACATTCACGGTCTGTCTTCGAAAAACTTCTTTGCTCACGGTGTCATATCTTGTGATTTTGTGATTCCCGCATAACGACGATATTATATGAGTTATTAATCCTTGTGCACTGCGAAAACAGTGCTTCTTTAATCTATTGTAGTGAAC